AATGTGACATGACATCATGTCACACGGTCCCACGAGAACACCTTTTTTGGGGAACTGTTTATTTGTTATCTTTCTTGTGTGGTAGGTCTCGGATTTTGCGATTTTGGTCATTTCAGCTATTCCTGCGATTTGAGAGTGCGTAGAAAGGGCCAAAGCTAACGTGCGATTGAGAGGTACCCTCCTAGGATCACTTCCTGGTCCCCTTATCTTGAGCTTATAATATGATCGTTGGATTGCAATCGGACCTACATGTCGAAAACCACTCATAGACTCGAAGGTTTCGTGGGAAAGGAGGAACGGAGGCAAAGGAAAACGTTCACAGACAACGCAGAAGCGGCTACAACTATGCAGGATCAAAGGACGCGCATATGTCCGTCTCCGACCAAGTGTCCTCACCCACTGTAGCAAATTGTTATTGCAAACATTTTTTGTACCGATCAATTTCAGCCTAAGCACAAAAAGTGCGACTACTGATCATTATTCAAACATTTTTTGAAAAACTCGATAGCCCATTAACCGAAGCTTCTTTCCAGGGACCACGCCTTTTGTAACAATGCCTAAGTATGGCGCATACATCACGTAAATAAGTTACCTAAAATGTTTGAAAACCAGCTTAAAAAAGACTGTGACATGACATCATGTCACACGGTCCCACGTGGCCGAAAGAGTGTGGTATGACATCATACCACACGGTCGTCAACGTGTTAAAGGAAGCGATCACGCTGTATTCCACGTGGATCTGCTATCCTAGCGTTATCACAACCCCATGGAAAATACGATACCATAATATAATAGACCAGATTAGTCCCCCGTCAACCGCCGGGACCTTCCTTTCCTGCGCAAGCTTTCTATCCTCCGCTATGGTCCCTTCCTCCTGTGACACCAACACCTCCTGGAAGTGACGCGTATGCAACACAATGGTGTTTCATACAGTAGAAGGGACACAATCATGATATGACGGTAGATTTTTCGCTTCCCTTCCTCATCCTCCCTTCCTCTCTCCACTGCCCTCCAGCTGCCACTGCAGCACCATGTGGAATGAACGGAAGTGTGCTAAGCAGGTGTTTATATAGCCCTAAGAGTGTTATCACAACTATCCTGCTACAAAACATTGATATCTCAAATCCTGTAAGCTACCCCATTGTTATCGGTTTGTTTATCCCATGAGCTTCCTTCTCACTCACTTCATTTTGCGGACGGACACACATACATACATACACACACACACGCACACACACACATACAGATACACAAACCGACACACAAAGTTAGCGCTTTATATAATAGAAGGATAAGAAGGATACAAGCATACGCCGTTGATCAGTCCCTTTATGGGATGCGCACGCCATTCTGGCTTCGCACTTGTACATTATACGACGTTTGAATGCGATGTGGCCTATACAATGACTTGCGGGGGCCAGCCGATGTACAAGTCAGTGTTTTTATCCTCCCAGACAAGTCTGGTACCAATTAACCGACCCCGGAGGGATGGAAGGCTTGGTTGGCCCGGGCGACTCACGACCCAGGATTTGATCCCGGACCGCTCGCGTGGTGAGCGCGCCACTTGTCACTACACCACTTCCGCCCATAAGATACGGCTGCTTGAATATGAGGTGCACTCCAGAATGAAAACGGACGATAACGATAACAGTATCATATCTAGCACGCTGCCATTGCAGCCCCTTCCACATCGAAACGGAGGTGTTTTTGCTACCCGGAAGTGGATTTCGGCGCCTTATCACTGTTGATAAGGCGCCACTGCCACTGAAACACTATCTGTTGTCTCACCGGGCAGGACCCCTACCCTATCCAGTACGTAACCTTGCTTATCGTCGTCATAGGAAATATGACCACTTCCTTCGATATCTGAGTGCTTGCTGTCGATATCATGCTCGTAGACCGAGCATGTGGGCTAGAGGGCATGAGCGTTTGGACGAAACCGCTCACCCATGTACCTCTCAAATCCCACTAGAATACCTGCAGACTAATGCGGGTCTCATGGACAGGATATACATACCAATGACAGAGTGCTCCAGTCCCATACCCTAACTCCGCGCAACCCTTATTGATGAATAGTGGCAAGAAGACAACGCTTGTGAATCGCATCACGCAGGCCGACCTAAAATTTTGCTTGGGGCAATGAAGGCGTTTGGCAAAATTGTTTAACTTCATATAATGTTCCATTCAGGGAGTAAACATGACACGAACATTTGAACATTCCGTATAGGAAGAGGTAGCGGAGAAAACCTCACCAGCGGCGCGGACTCGAGCGCGTACTGGTGACGTCAAAATGACGTCGAAGCTTCAGCAGGCTCGAGTTCAAATAATGCTGAGTTTCTGGCACAGACTTCTTCAGCCAGTTGTCGCGAGCAAAATCATTGTGTCATTGGTACTGTCCTCAGACTAGAAATTGGAATCTTGGAAAATGTTAGGTGGTCGAGGTATTCACCTGCTAACCCTTAGGAGAACACACTCAGGTTGAGCTTTCCTAAATCAAGTCCGTTCTTCGAGTTCGATTCCTACTTAATTCTACTTATTACACAGTAATCAAGAGCACGAGAGATACTTGGAGCATATAATGTATCAAATATTCGTGGCAGGGCTGGCTTGCTCGTTTCCTTGCCATTGCTGCGACCAGGGTCAAGCGTGCGTTGAGGAATCCTCGACACGTCACAGAGGGGGGGGGGGTCGTATTGGCCCGCTGGGGGAAGAGATCGGGCCGATTGATGCAGTAGGATCATCACCGTCGGAGGACAAACATCAAGGATCGATCGATGCCAGGCCAGAGGATTTCCAATAACAATGATATTCCGCCCACACAAAATCTTCGTGATTCAGAGGTGTCCGCTTAGCAATTCTTAGTTACTTCAGTGTTTTATCACCACACAAGTTAAAGAATCCGAAATTCGCACGTTTTCCAAGGATATTTTATCTTTCAAGTGAGTCCTCGAATCTGAAGGGATGTGAAGCACACGGCGCATCCCAGAGTGGGCCCAGTTGGTTGCGCGCGCTTCAACTACGGCTCTCTGGAGAAAGAATCTCAATTCAGGAAAAATCAAGAGGATTCTGAAAGGGTTCATGTGAAATTACAGGGAGGAGTACACTATTCAACAAGAAACGCAGCCTTCAGCGTCAAATTCACAAGCATGTAACCTTTAAAGTTGAGAACGCTAAACAATTTTACACTTTTTGAAAGAGAAAAGCACGAGGATTCCGAATCTGCTCCTACTTTAGTACATAATCGCCCTTGAAAGGAGCTATAGTCGTTGAAATAGTGCCAATGTAGCGAAAAAGTACCTTTCGGCGGTACTCGGGCAAAAATCCTCAACGTGGCCATTTTTTAAATAGTGGACGTATTTAGCAGTTCTAGTAACCGTTTGATAGAGCAAATCTTCTAGTTTATGATGACGTATTAACTTTTCAGATTGGATGAGTTTGAACGGAGTTATGGCTTTGTAAAAACTCGCACTCATCACGAATTTTCCTCGTTAATTTTGCAAAAATCCTCAACGTGGCCATTTTTTAAATACTGGACGTATAAAGCTGCTTTAGTGACTGTTTGATATAGAAAATGATTTGACGAAATTGAAGCAAGTTATGGCTTCGGAAAGTGTAAAAACTCGTGCTCATCATGAATTTTCCTCGTTAATTGATCTAAATTTGTTATTTCTTATAAATTTTTGTAATTTCAATACTGATTAGAAAGAGCTCTTCACAAAACTCCCAAATCTGCTTTCAGATTGAAAATTCGTCATATTTGAAGAAAGTTATAATCATTTGAATATTTGTTCAAATTTCAATAGTAAATAAGCTGCTCCACGGTCAACGCCAAAGTCCAGTCAACACACAGCTGGCGAAGGCGGTTACAAGGCTTCTTTCAACTGAAAGGGGGACGTGTAAATTGAGAACCATACTCTGTGTAGTACTAGAATTTGGTAAGTCTTGTGGAGGAAATAAATAAAGAAGAGATGTTGTCATAGTATGCCATTTTTAGTGACTAGTTTGTCGTTTTTTGCTCCGTTTCTCGTTTGCTCGTTTGGTAGGACTCATCATAATGATCATTCTTTGACTTTTTCACTTTTGTACTTCTTAAACGAATTTTTTGGTGGACGGTGGGGTAGCAGGGCTTTTTTATGAACAGTTTTGGGGGAGAATTAAACAACCTTTTCATAGTTCGGCTTTTGAAGAGGGTCGTTTCATGGACTTCGGCCTTAGGAGGGGTTTTATGAACATTTTGGGGAGAATTAAACAACCTTTTCATAGTTCGGCTTTTGAAGAGGGTCGTTTCATGGACTTCGGCCTCTGGGGGAGGGAGGGGGGTCGTATTTCCAAATTTTCCTCGACGGTTCGCTTGACCTGGCTGCGACGTCACCAACGCGAATGCGTCCGCGCCGCCGGTGAGCTTTTCCATGGAGCCATCGGAAGATAGCAAGGAGACATTTTTGAGCATCAATCAATCGCATGGGAGAACGTCTCCTTACGATGGGCTTGGGAATGGTCATGTACAAGAACTATAACTGAAAACTTACGGCATGGCCACGTTACGGCTCCCATCGTATAAAAATATAGGCAACTGATCACCACAAATCACATTACTTCCCTCTTGTTGAAGAGATACTCGGAATTTGAGACGACAATTTGCTATTTCCTCACTTTTTTGAATGAATGTATTTCTGCTTCATTTTCAAGAGTCACGTTTGAAGGATAATGATTAAATGTAAATGAGACCGATGCTCATCACACTGATCCGAGGTAGCTCACACAGATTTTAGCGTGTCAGAGTGACTTACCTTGAACTCCTTCATGCAGAAACTAATTTCCGTTGTCCTCTGCAAAGAGAACCTTTTGAAACAAGCCTTCTGCACCGTGATCTCCGTTCTGCATGGGGTTGCATTGTTACGTTCTAAACATGGTGCACATGATGAAGAAACGAAACATTTAAGTTTTTAAGCACCATGGACAATGAAACCAGGTGAAACACTGGCGCTAAAAACTCAATTGTCGGTAGAACATTCGAATCTTTCCTCAAAAGAATCAGAGACGCTGAGCTCAAAAAGCGAAAAAAAAATTGTAGAGAGCGGAGAAGAGGGCCAGTGTCATGTAAACAATTTAGTTTGTAGTTCTGAATTCGAATGAAGAACAACAAAAACTGACCCACTGGAATTTGTACAAAATTTTTGAAGACTATCTTGTCACTATGTGCACTCATCATTAGCTCTTCATATCCGGTATGCATTTCATTGAGAAACGCGGCAATCTCACTGAAAGAATTGTGGAAAAAGATCTAACTGACTCTAATGCCTCCTCTCACGCTCAGATTCAGCAGTTTCACAAGATTAATTCAGATATTTATACCCCTATCTAACATTAAACCCTCATTATCGATCTCCTTTCCACTATCGGACACTGGTCTAGTGCTCTGACTTGAAATGGTACTTACTTACCTCTGAATTTGAAGCGCAGAAATGCAATCAAATAATGCGGCCAAGGCCTAAAAATCGACGCCGACATACTAAACCTTCTCCCTTTACATGATGTGCTTTCTTGGTTTTTTGTTTTTTTATTTTCCTTAAATGGTTATACATAAGCCAAGGATTTCGGTGAAAGTATGAAAAAAACTGAAAAGAATGATCTAGAATAAACTAAATGAGGTCACGCACTTCGAATCCATATGACTCTCAGAGGGGTGAACACCAGCTTTACCGTGACGTGGTGGGAAAGTCAAAGTATAACTCCCTCGAGAGGGAGAAAAAGAAAGAGATAAAAGAGTAAAAAAAAGTAGAGAAAAAAAGAGAAAAAAGAGACGAAAAAAAGAACGGAAAGGGAAACGAGAAAGAGAGGAAAAAGAAAGAGATCGATACAGTAAATTCTATGCTCAAAATCCCTGCCCTTCAGCAACTGAGACCTCCTTAAAGGCAAAGGTCGGGATAGTTGACAACCAACCCTTTCGGTCATGTCTGCACTTGGTTACTCACCCATACAGATGTTACCACCTCCAAATGCTCGTTAATGACGCCGATAATGAGACCCCAGCGCAGTACTGATGCCGAGCCCGCCTGGCGGCGCTCCGACCGCCCACCTTGGGACGTGGTGCATGGCTGGCATAACGTGTGAAATCAGCTAGGTTGATTGCCGTATCAACCGATAGAACGACTGACATCTCCAGAAAACTTGTTTGTACGTGCCTCTTTCCCAAGCCAGCCTCCTTCACTGCTAGTGGGAAAGAGGGTTTTGTTAACGGCCTTGTCGACGGTTTTTCTCAGTTTTTTCTCCACTGTCGTTCCACTTCGCATCTCTATACTCAGTTTCAATCGCCATAATACCCCCTTATTGAGCCCGACTTTTGCCTTTAATACTTCGTATACGAATCTACCATGTCCAAAAAAAAACACGCACGTCGCAGCAGATTTCCTGGTAATTGTACGAAAGACGGCTAACACCTGGTAGGAAACACACCTCCTGACGTTTTGTTATGCGTAAGCCGCTATTAAGACGATAACAAGTACGGACTCTTCGACTGGAAATCTATTATACCACAATGGAGAACGTTGAATTTATGAGTTATAATCGAAGTTTCACACTTCAATTGCGATAAAGTTCAGAAAGCTGAGAATGCTCTGATCATCAAAAGCTACGCAAAAAAAACCGACAACATGAAGATGTTCGTCGGTTGTGTTTGTGTGCCAAGTATATTGCGACTGTGAATCTGGCGAGCCATATCCATACGGGTAAGAGACTACTAAGCCACTGACTGTGACCGCATTGCGCAAATCGCTTTTACTAACATCTGAGGTAAACGGCTTGTGTTTTTCCATCACATTAACATCGAACGAACGGGAAACATCTGTAAACAGTTCATTATATTCGCATTCTGTGTGTATTGAGAGCTATTGATCTTTATATAAAAGTAAGATAACAGATTTGTACCAATTCGTTTTCTTTTAAAAAAGGCAAAGTTACGAAACAACCCAAAACAGGCGAAATCGAGAAAACTCGTGAGGGCGCTGGCCTAATATCTATGGAATCGAGTTTGAAACCACCTTCCTTTACAATCTTTTATTGTAAGATAATTCCACGCATCCGCTTGAGCTTATGAAGAAAATGTCCCATTTGAGGTGCTGCTAGTGGGCTGCCGATGTTGCGAAAGTACGAGACTGCACTTAGTTGATTGACACCCCTTTCGCCTGTGCCTCCACTGCTTCTACATTGAGTGAACATCAAAAACAATTTTGTGAATAGTTTTGTTGCTTACAACATGAATTTTTCGCTAAAAATCCTCATGTTATGTGTCGCTTTAAAGGAGATGGTATTTTGAAAAAGTGCGGGTCGCATTAAGGAAGAGAAATTCGAGCTTACCACACGTGTGCTGGAAAATCAACTTGCAGTTCACCGACCAAGAATATCCACAGTGAGCGTACATGACAGAGAGATTTCTTTTCCACACAAAATAAGCACTTTTGAACATAGATAAAGCAGCCTAAAAGTGTCGCAATCACCGACATGAACGGGCTGAATTAAAGCAAATAGGCGCAGTCAGAGTCAGTCAGTTACCCGTTCAGTGATTGAAATAATTAAAAAGTGACAGACGTCTTCAGCGACAGCTGGCTTACTGTAACATGGTTCTTAAAGATAGGAGCGAAGTTTAACAAAACAGAACGGAATCACAAACATCATGACGAGATGATGCGAACCAACCCGTGAAAGGGAAATGGTAAGAGGTGAGCAATTCCAACAACACGGGTATGGATCTACAAATCCTACCACCACTCCAACAAGACTTTGAGTGGGAATGAAACTCGTTTTGTACTGCCTTCCAACTGAACTTTTGGGTCGTGTTACTGCGGTTTTTTACGGGAATTTTGCAGAAAAAGGCTTCACGGTTCACCGTGGCTTCAGATAAACATAACTTAAGTGTAGTTTTGAATTTTTGTTGAGTTTTACTTTAGAGTGAAGGGAATTAGTTGTACTCGGAAGATAAAAAAAATTTTGCCGAATTTTTATATACCTTCATTGACAATCGACAGTCTTTAGCCGTATCAGATGACAAGCACTTCGTGTCATAATCAGAGAAGAAATCGCCAGCGAATAGAAATATGCCATACGCCGACCGAGTTTTGTTGAAAGACTTCAAACATAACTGAAAATGCGCTGAGAAAACGAATGCGATCCTGCTAAAAAAGTTTAGCAGAAAAAATAAGCAGCCATAAAAATACCATTCAAGTAGCGGTCGTAATCGCGGCACGTCGAATCCCTGGAAAAAATGATGCTCAAGAGCGAGATTACCTTTGAAAGCGAATAATTCACCTAATCGCGTTACTCTGAAAAGGGAGACGTTTGGAGTTAACTCCATCAACAGGACGCCTTGACGCTTCCGTGTGAGCAAGTCTGTCAATCACTCCCTCCTGCTCGGGAGCATGGCCATGTTCGAGTAGAAAACGTCGACAAAGATCATGGGTGTGTTGGTGCTTCAAGGTCTGGCGCATCAACTACTCAGCGACACTGAATAAACTTATAGATGACAGAGAGGGGTGGATATCACCAGCTCCATCTTGAGTGTTTCCCGCGTCAAGGGAAGCTTTTCCTACTGGCAAGAGATCTGATACTACCTGCCCCGTTCTATCCCCCTCCACTCCACCCCATCGAGCAGCCGTCGATAAACTTCTCGTATGGAGCTTTTCCATTTCACCTGTATCACCTGTCGTCCCGTTGATCATCGAATTGCTCGAGCGGGCGCCAGCAACGTCTCCATTCGTCCCTGTCGCGTGCAAGAGTTGTCCAGTGGACCCTCCTCGCTCGAGGGACACGGTGTTCATTCCTTTCGTTCAGAGCTTTCGTGAAGAAGTCTGACCATCGGGCCGGCGGTCGTCCAGGTGTTCGTTTGACGTCCCGAGGGATCAGTCGCTAAGCAACTCTGTACTAAAGGTCATCGCAATGCGCAGACGTGTCCGGCCCACCTTATCTTCGATTCCTTGGCGAAAAACAGCTGATCTTCGATCGTTGGCGTAGTTCGGAACTCCGGATTCCCCTCTGCACTTGCGTGTATAGGGTTACTCCTAGCATCGTCCTCTCGACAGCGCGTTGGATAACGCTGACCGCATGCTCGTCCTGCCTGCGCAGAGTCCAAGTCTCTGAGGCGTAGGTTAGGGCAGGAAGGACAGCGGAATCGAAGAGGTGGGCACGGAGCCGGATGTTCTTCGTCTTCTTCACTACTCCCTCGATGTTCTTAAACGCTCCCCATGCCGCTCGTTTCCTCCTGCTCAGCTCTGGAGCTAGGTCGTTCATCATATTGATTTCCCGACCTAGGTACACGTAGCTGGAGCACTCGGTGATGTTCGTATTTCTTTGCGACAAAAAATCAAACTTTGGGTCGTATAAAACTTCCATATCTCAGCAACAACTGATAATGACTAGGTTGTAATTTTGGCAACAGTTTGAATTTTTTTCCTAGTTTCTGAAAGATTCGAGAAACTAAAAGAGCCATGGATGGGATCAATGAGAAAGGCAATCAGGACTGTTGGCCAATTCTATTGATTTTTCCACTCTTCATGCCTGCGATAAAAAATTGCGATTTCTGAGGTGTCCTGCTGCCGCTTCTTCTTCCTGAGAACCGCCTGCGCTCCAATGCGAACCAGACCACTGTGCGAATCAACACGATTGGCCGTATGACAACGCGCCATCATTCATAGGTGGTTCTACCTCTTCGATATATATAGCGACTTTTCCTCCGGCGGAAACGATCAGACTAGGGGGTCTGCCAAAGTCGACAATGACGCCTTCTCCGCCCTGACAACAATTGCTGCACGGTTTAGGCGCAAATGAAATGTCTGGATCAATCACTATTATCCCCTTACAGCTGCACTGCAAGTTGACATGTGCATGACCTTCTCAGCTCTTTCTGGAACGGAAAACACTTTGATAATGTGGTTTACTATGAGGTGAGACGGGAGCATACTCACATGAATCACAACGCAAGTGGAGTGCGTTGGTAGAGGAAGAAGGAAGGGGATACGCATACAACGACGCACCAGAAGATTTATCTGAGGTTGGTGGTGGAGCAACCCGCTGAGAAGGCTTACACATGACAGCATGGTCACTTCGGCTGCCTACTGGAACCTGCTGGATATGGCAGGAGCGAAATGAAAGGGAAGTCGAGAGAAGAAAGAGTCGAAAAATACAACAACCCATGTATGAAAGGTTACAAGATGCTGCAAATCTAGAAGCATGAGCGGGAAAATAATAAGGCAATAATGTATTCTATCAAAGAAAATCATGAGAATTACTCACACCACGTTTCTGAGATCGAAGAAAGAGTTCATCACCGAGTTTACTGAGGGCGGTAATTGCGTTTAATGTAACTGAAAAAATGATTAACGATTTGAGGTATAATAACAAAGAAAACGAGCGACGCGGTTGATCACTCCCCTAATGGAATGAACTATGCATGCTATCAACATTTCCGCTGAGACGTCATCATGGTGTTACTATGACCGTTGGCATCACTTGGTGCGATGTGTTTCGGTGATTTTTCTCATCAGTTCTTTTTTGAAAAATGCTGCTTGTAAGCCTGATGTCAGAGTCTTCGATCGGTTGCTCGAGTCGAATCGCGCGATCGCAAAAATTGCAACTGCCTTATTTGCACATGTGTAACCTGAATTTGAAACAAGTAGATTCAACCTTAACCATTAAATAGAATAGGGGGATCGGAGACCACTTCGTAGTATTGATGGGGCACTTGTGATTTCTATAAACCCTCGCGCGACGGATCGCAGACTCTGACGCCAGCTTAAGAGTTATTGATGGTGTAAAGAGAATGGAATCCATTCTTAGCTCTCGCACTATTTTGCGCAATTGCGAAATGTCAATTTGAAATGCAAAGGTTTGTCACCACGAGAAACCGAACCAAAGACTACTCGATTACTTCTTTCGGTAAGATGCGCTAAGGCAACCGTTTGAAAAACTTTATACGCCCTGGAAGACCTTTCTGGTTAGAGTTCGCAATGGGAATCCCAAGCGACCATGAGCGCCCAAGATATCACGCCCTTGCTCTTCCGCTGAGGTCTCTCACCTCTGCGTTCCTAAGAAGGAAAACGGAAGAAAATGTTGAAGTTCTATAAGTTACACTGCAAAAACATGAGAGAAAGAAAAAAAACAAAAAAATAAAACCTTCACCCACTTCTCACATTCGAATGTAGAAGGTATACTGCGCTGCTGCGGTTGTTGCTGCTAATATTACCGTTTATTGAGCGACTCAGAGGCTGGCTGACAGACGACCCTGCCTCATCCATATCTTACAAAGCAGATCGAATAAAACAATAAAATTCCAGCGAAATCTCAATTAGCACTATGCAAATGAGGCAGAATTTAGGAGTGCAAGCATGAGAGTTAAGCAGGACGTCGAGCTTCCTCTGCAGGAAATGCTGAAGAGAAGTTTACTCCTGCGGAAGCTCTAGCAATTCAAGAAATGAAACTTCCTTGCAAAGTAAGCAGGTTCTACAGCCATTATTTGAATGCATCAATGTATAAGATGCTCAAATATGAAAACGTTTCTATCGATTTTGATATGAGATATGACAACAATTCGCATAGCGTCTTCCACACGTTGCAATTAGTGCAAAATGAGTCGAGTCTTACAATGGAGGCATATTTTTAGAACAAAATTGAGAATATTTCATTCTCTCGCCGAGTTCTAATTGTTCATCTGCACACAAATTCCCCTACAATTCCCTACAACATAAAAGGATAAAGCATTTGCCGTTGATCAATCCCTTTTTGGGATGCGGCACGCATTCTACTTCCATTTGTACATTCGTAGTGGCGTTTGAATGCGATGTGGCCTATACAATGACTTGCGGGGGCCAGCCGATGTACAAGTCAGTGTTTTTTATCCTCCCAGACAAGTCTGGTACCAATTAACCGACCCCGGAGGGATGGAAGGCTTGGTTGGCCCGGGCGACTCACGACCCAGGATTTGATCCCCGGACCGCTCGCGTGGTAAGCGTGCCACTTGCCACTACACCACTTCCGCCCTATAACAACATACAAAGTATTTTTTAAGAGAAGATTTCGCGTCCTGATGACCTTCTTGCTGGAGACAAAGAGCAAGAATTCTGATCGAGGAATCGAATTTTTCGCCTTATTCATATATTGTAATTTGAAGAACGCATACCTCAACCTGGCAAGGTAAGACCATCAGCTTGATACCAATACAAGGATATCAATGGTAGGCTCCAGTTGAAAGCATATGAAGCAGAACCTAGAAAAAGCTGCCATTAACGCAATTAGGGAGCACTATGGAAACCGGGATCGACCGATTATGTGGGCGCAGTTTTAAAGGCTCTTGCCTTAAGAGAAAAGAGTTTTGGGGTCTATTCCAGTTAGGTGGGGGGCATCGTGGTGCGGTGACTCCCAAAAAGCTACGGTAACTCTGAGCCAGGGGGGGTGTAGCCTGCGTAGGGGAGGGGAATCGTGAGAAGCATGATAGTTCGAGTTATACATTAGACTCGCGGAGAAACTACATCATGATGCCCCTAATGGAATGACCCGGAGTTTGTCAATCGCACCACACTCTGCGCTGACAGAATTATTTTACGTGGTTTCGAATCCGTGGCAGCTATGAAGAGTTTTCCAGGGTAGAAATGAAGAAAAGATATGAACAAAATTTTCACAAAACATTCTTGCGCAAAACTTTGCAGAATACACATTGGACATTTCGCATGCTATTGGAAAGAGCTGTGTGTACCCAAACAGATCTTTCAGCCCAGCCAGCTTCATTTCCTCTGCAAGTAGGGAAATCTTGTCGAACTGTTTTTGAATACACCTCAGCTTGTAGCTAGGACAATGCACCTCGGGACGATGTCAGGAAAAGGTCAGCCTTGAAACAGCACAGCTTGGCTTTGGCTTCCCGATCAATCCTAATCCGTTTTGGCGCCGGCCGCGGCCAACTGGTTACCGGGCACTCGGAGTAATCATTTTGTACTCCTACTGACTAGTATAGGGCGCCATTCGTTGCGGGACCCACTGCCTTAACCCGCGGGGATCCCATGTGATCGCGGTTGAATTCGAACATTCCAGCTTCTCACGCATGTCAAGTGTCTGCCCTCACCCCCCACCCCCCTAGACTGGCGACACTGCCCCTGGCTCACGGATTCCCCGCTCCACATTGAAGGGTTCACTGTAGCAGGAGGCAGTGGGACCGCTAAAACCGGCATGGCGCCCCGTTACTGTCAGGTAGCGTACAAAACGAATTGGCTCCACTCGAGTTGGTTTTCAACGGGTTCGCAGGGCACAACGATCGACTCGGACGCATTCGCCGCGGCCGCGCCCAAATGGTTAGGTATTGTCTGGGAGCCGCTGGCTTTTACAGCCTATGAAGTGTTTCACCTAGCAGTTTGTTTCACGACAGAGATAAACGCACAAAACTGTACAGTGCGTTTCATTGGTATATAGGGTATACGTCCACCCCTGATTTTACCGAAAACGTTTC